AATAAAGCAATAGTTTTACCTCAGAGATGCTGGTCACTTATAATCACAGCTGATTCTTCAGTCCCAGCTGACCAGAATCACGGATTCTTAATTTAAAACAGCAAATGACCCCGACAGAGTCTTTAAACTTCTCTTTGAACTTTGTAAGTCAGGCCTCCATCATCTACACTGCTCTCAGTATTATTGTCCAAGATCCAACAGACCAGCTCACCGAGCTCTCAAAATTCAATGAAGGGCTTCTGTAGCCCAAAATTCCAAAGTCTTTCCACTTGCCTCCCTGCCCCCCGCCCAAAAAAAAGGCCCAAACACAACATGGTCATGTCTGTCCCAAACACAACATGGTCATGTCTGTCCCAAACACAACATGGTCATGTCTGTCACAGCAATACCCTACAATCCTGCCACCAATTTCTGTCTTAGGTTTTCTATTGCTGTGATAAAACACCATGACCAAAATCACTTGGGGAGGAGAGGGTTTATTTCGCTTACACTTCCAGGTAACAGTCCATCACGGAGTGGTGGACAGGGCAGGAACTCAAGCAGGGCAGGAACCTGGAGACAAAAGCTGTCGCAAAGGTTATGGAGGAGTGCTGCTTCCTGGCTTGTTCAGCCTGCTTTCTGATAGAATCCAGGACCAATAGACCAGCAGTGGCCACACCTACAATGAGCTAAGCCCTCCCACACCAATCAGTAGTTAAGACAATGCCCTCAAGTGGTTCTTATGGAGGCATTTCCTCAATTGAGGTTCCTTTCTCTTAGATGACACTAGCTTGTGTCAAATTGACATAAAAACTTGCCAGGACACCAAGGAATGCCAAGGATTGTGGGACATTTCCAAAAACTAGCAAGAGAGGCAACAAGGTCCTAACATCTTGATTTTAGATTTTTACCTCCAGAACTATAAGAGAATAGATATCCATTATTTTAAGCCACCTTATTCCTAGTGTAGGTTAAGTATCCCTAATCTGGAAAAAAAAAGCTTTCAAATCCAGAACATGGTGAATGTCAGTACGTACATGATCCCACACGTAGGAAATGCTACACCCGACCTCATGTGACATTTCACAGTCAGAATGTGGGTGGACAAAAATACGGTCTAAAGTCACCTTCAGATTACGGATAGGAGACACACAAAACTTAAGCAAGCTTCATCTTTAGGACCCCCCCCCCCCGCCCCCCGTCCCACATCCAAGAAATTTGATTATACTTATGCAAACATTTCAAAATTCTGAAAAAAAAAATGCTGGCCTGAAATATTTCCGCTCCCAAGAATTTTTTGGAGAGATTGTCAGTGTGTCCTTTGCCACCGCAGCTCTAGGAAGCCAACATGTTAATGAGATCCGTGACGTCAGTTCCTGAAATTATGTCTTCACCTGGCATTTGCTGTCTGTTCTCTCCCTTTGATCATAAAGACCAGGAAGAAAGGACCTTACAGCCTTGCTCATGGAAAACCCTACTTCTGGATTTTGCTCACTCCTCTAATAGCAATCTCTCTCTCTCTCTCTCTCTCTCTCTCTCTCTCTCTCTCTCTCTCTCTCTC